ATAGTCTAGTTGGGTAGCCCTCGGTTTACTCTTGCTAGCTAGGGTGGTGCCCCTAGGAGTCTACTATCTGGCTGGGCAGACCCTCTATTGGGTGCTAACGGATTAAGGTTGTTACTTGGGGTTGAGACTTGGCTTACGCTTCTTAGATCTGGATTAATTGTACTTCGCTCTTGTAGTTTAGCTATTTTGTGTACCTATCGAGATTATATGGGTCTATTCGGATTTTACTTAAACTTACGCACTAGTGTACGTTCTGGACTTATAGGGTCCAATTAGGTCTAATTTAGTTGTACTTAGGTTTTACTTCTGGTTCACTCGTGTTCTTTCTTTAAATTCCATTTTGACCTCTATTTGTGTCTAGATTCTATCTTTTCATATTGTCTTTACCTTTCTTACTTGGTCGTCATGTGATGCCTACTGAGTAATTGTTGTTTTTGTACTCATGCTACACTCAACATATGTTTCATGATGTCAGTACTAGTACCAACTACTATCGGTGATCATTCGAGCTTGCAGCTTTGTGGATCATAGGAGAGGATGAGTACTTGGCATTCCGACCTGCATATGTCCTTTTGTATAATGTATAACTAGTCTTTTGTATTTTGGGATAAGTTTTGCTTTTGGTCCACTTTTGGGACTTGTAATTTTTTGTTGGAGCAACTATGTACTTGTAACTTCCAGGTTCTGGGAGGGATCTTTTATGTATATAGTTTTGGTTTGCTTCCGCCTTTGTCTGGGTTTGTTGCTTAATGTATTGATTCCGCTTGTTTCTACCCTTATACTCATTACTTTCATTTATGGGTTACGGTTGACTGGCCTAATGGTGGGTAATAGTAGGTTCCATCATAATTCAAGGAATCGGGTTATGACGTTGATGAGTCCGAGATTTGGACTCATTTAGGACTTTGTTTGCATAGATTTAGTGTCCTCAAATGCCTAATTTGTACCATAAACTAATGAAGAATCCTTGATTTTCAGGTACATGGGTTGAGGAACAAAGCAAGGACACTAACATGCAAAAAAGAACAAAACAAACTGAAGAATTGAAGAATGGCAAGCCTGGTGATTGCCAAGAGCGTTTGGCGAACCGCCGAAGGGCCAGTTCCACCGCTTAAAGTTCCAGCGTGCTAGCCCTGAGGGAAGAAACTAACTCGGCGACAAGAAGGAGTAGTCGGTGAATCGCCGAGTAGTTCCCTGATGCTGTGATAGATCGCCTAAAGTTACAGAACCTAAGGATGCTGAATGACAAGGTAAAAAGGTGATGTAAGAGAGCAAAGGGCGGCTCGCCGAGTGGTTCGGCGAGCCCGACTTACTTCACCAAATGGGCTTTCGCAGCTTATTTTTGGAAACTATAAATACGTTTTTGAACATTTAGTTTAGTATCTTGGAGACATTAGAGATAGTTTTTATTAAGTTCTATCATCTGGAGACAGTTTTCTCTAGAGTTTTCTTTAGCTTTATAGGATTGAAGAAATTCACTTTTGAGAAATTGGAAGTGGCTCTTTGATATTCATCAAATTGGATCATTGTAAGGAGGAAATAACTCTTACCTAGTTCTTATTATTGATATTGAACTCTGAGTATTGAAACAAGTTTTCACTAGTTTTCCCTATTCTTTGAAGGATTGAAGAAATTCACTTTTGAGAAATTGGAAGTGGCTCTTTGATATTCATCAAATTGGATCATTGTAAGGAGGAAATAACTCTTACCTAGTTGATGGAAACTCAATTTGGTAACTGTTTTTACCTTTTTATAATGCCTAGCTAAAACCCCAATTCTTGGGGTGTGATCATGTGATTATGGGCTGATTTAGCTTATGGGTATTGCTAATTGTTAGTTTAAATGCTATTTAAAAGTGAGTTTAATCATTAATTGTGGTTTAATTTAAGAATTGTTGTTGCAAATGCAGTTCTATGTTTGTGTTCTTGGCTTGCTCGAGAGAGAGGTTTTAGAACTAAGGTTTTTGATTAATGGTTTGTGGGTATTGGGTTGATCTGGGTTTAATTCGAGAGAGTGAATCCTAAACCCAACTCCACACATATAGCTCGAGAGAGTGAATGGATTAAGGTGTGGGTTACTTTTAATTTGCCTGCTTGTTGATGTTCGAGAGAAATCACCTTATTCGGGGTAATTGTTCGAGAGAAAATTACCTCTTTTATAGCCTAGCCTACTCACTAATATCTAGTTATTTACTAATAGTTGCAATTACCCATATGTCTATATTTGCCTATAATCGATCACATCCCAAGAATCCATCTCATTATTGTTAATTCCTAGTGTTTGTGACTGTTTGTAGTTAATAATTACAACCAAAAACCCCCCATTTGACATTCGTGTCACCCCCTTTAAATTTGATATGTCATTTTTCGATAATGTTTATTCCTATGGCTGAATAAAACACATTCATACTTCTTAATTGAATTCCAAACACATACCGCTCACTGTGGGATTCGACCCCAACTCATTTAGTTGGGTTTTATACTGATTTACGATCGTTGACACTTAGAATTGGATGTAGTGTCTTTGAAACGTTAATTAATTAGATATTACCGAGGAAATGGATCAAGAGACTCAAGTTGATGAGTCAAAAGATGCAAATCTTGAAGAACTTGTTGTTAATGAACCATACACAATTACATAGGGAAGAGACAAAAGGCCGATACAGAAACCAAAACGTTTTATCGAGCAAGCAAATCTGATAGTATATGCATTTGTAGCTGTAGAAGAAGAGATTAAGGATCTGGAGCCCTCCTCGTATGTTGAAGCAACTTCTTGCAAGGATGCTGCACAATGACGACTAGCCATGATGAAAGAGATGGAATATCTTCACAAAAATGAGACACAAGTCTTAGTTGAAAGGCCAAACAGGAAGAGGACAGTTGGATGCAAATGGATCTATAAAAAGAAAAATGGTATTCCAGAAGTGGAAAATTCTAGGTTCACCACGAGATTCGTTGCAAAATGTTTCAGTCAGAAGGAGGGAATTGACTACAATGACATCTTCTCTCCAGTCATGAAACATAGTTTAATTCACGTGCTACTAGCATTGGTTGCATTTGGAGCCTCAACAACTTGATGTGAAACTTCTTTCTTACATGGTGATTTAGAAGAGAATTTATATGGACCAGCCTGAAGGTTTCGTACCTAAGAGAAATGAAGATCATGTATGCCAACTGATGAAGTCCTTGTATGGTTTGAAGCAATCCCAAATACAGTGGTACAAGAGGTTTGATGTATTCATGACTACACATGAATTCTTGAGGAGTGCATTAGATAGTTGTGTGTATCACAAGAAGATGTCTAGTAACTCTATGATTTATTTATGGTTGTATGTTGATGATATGCTTATTGATGCTAACAACATCACAAAGATAAATATTTTGAAGAAACTGTTGAGCATGGAATTTGACATGAAGGATTTGGGAGCTATAAAGAAAATCTTTGGAATGGAGATTTCAAGAGAAGATGGTGTTGTACATCTTTTTAAAAAGAGGTACATCGAAAAGGTTCTTGAGAGATTCATTTTGCATATAAGCAAGCCAGTAAGTACATTGTTAGCTTCTAATTTCAAGATTTGAGAGTTACAAATGTCCCAGTCTATGGATGGGGTGGAGCATATGTCAAAGGTTCCTTATGCTAGCACAGTTGGTAGCATTATGCATGCTATGGTGTGCACACGTCCAAATATTTCTCAATTTGTAAGTATGGTAAGCAGATACATGAAAAGTCGAAGGAAAAGGCATTGTGAAGTTGTCAAGTGGATTTTGAGATATCTCAAAGGAGCTTCTGATGTTTCGCCTAACCTTTTAGAAAAGTGAAGGTACGTTAATTCTCAGTTATGTAGATTCTTCCTATATAGGGGATATTGATCGAAAAAGGTCCACAATTGGATATATCTTTATTCTCGCTCATAGTGTCGTTAGTTGGAAATCAACTTTATAGTCAATTGTTGCTTTGTATAAAATAGAGGCAGAATATATGGCAGCAATAGAGGCAATGAAAGAAGCTATATAGTTAAAAGGTTGGTGGCAGAATTGAGTTTGGTTTAGCTGGAATCAACTCTAAGATGTGATATTCAAAGTGCTATTCATTGGTTTAAAAATCAAAGATTTCATGAACGCACTAAACACATTGATGTCAGATTCCATTTCATTCAAGATATCATTGAAGAGGGAGCTAATAAGGTCAACAATGTTATCACAAACGATAACGTTGTAGACACGTTGACCAAGATACTCCATCTTGCCAAGTTTGCACATTGCAAGGACTTGGTGGGAGTAGAACAACTGCTAGGTGGAGCTAGCGTGTTCAACAAAGGTTTGATTCTCCTTGTTTCTTACAATGGGATTGCCCAATAAGTTTAGAAGTTTTGGACGAAGTCGTTCATATGCATGCTTGGAACGCAAACCAAGGTGGAGATTGAAAAAGTTGGTTTGGTCTTTTTGAGGTCAAACCCAATGGAATAAAAATTCATGTGCCAATTTACTTGGCTAGGAATTGAACTTGGAGAGCAAGCCAAAATTTGTGGAGGATAAATTTTGTATTTCTTTTCTTGCTTAGATCTCAAGTTTGGCCACCTATAAAAGGATGGTCATTCTCCAATGTAGAAATCCATCCATAAACTCATAGAAAAATACATTAGAAGAGTAGAGAATTAAGAGAACAATTATCTTCGATGTATTTGGCATTTCTCCCCTTTCTTTGTTAATATACAAATAGTTGTTCTCAGGTGGACGTAGGATCATATTGATCTGTATCACATTAAGTATTGTTGTTCTTCCTTGCTCTTTATTTTTCACGTTTCCGCTAACAAAATAAATGACATTAACTAAGTTTAAGATAAAAGAATTGAATTTTTTTTTAAAGGGATTAAGACAAAAAGAGTAAATATAAGGGGGAAAATGGAAAGAGCATGAGCCAGCGTAAACAAAATGAAAAAAATGTGACAAACTAAATTACTTAACATCAACAAAACGGAGAAAAGGGGATATACAACATACCATAAATTTTAGACGTATCTTCTAATTTGTTATGCAAATCAGATCTTACAATCTCAATAGCCCGCTGAAAGGCAGGATTGTTGGCCGCTGATGCCCTAATTTGTGAAAATGGTTGAGGCATTGAAATTTCATTAGGCTTTTCACAATTAAATGTGCCACCAGGTGAGAGATTTAGATCCATTTCTTGTTGACCACTTGTATAGGTAGAAATTTTACCCTTTGGTGCAGCCATAGATCACTGCAAGATAGAAAAAAATATATTAGATGCAAATACATAAAATCTGTAAGTTTAATCTTAGGCAAAAAAAAATAATAGAAGTCATATATATGCACCGTATCAACTAGAAAATAATTATATATATATATATATACATTGTAATTTTATTGATTGAAGAATTTAAACCATGAAATTAGTATACCAATGAAACTCATCATCCGTCTAAATCCCTAGTTACAAGAGGAAAATAATTGAACATCATACTTACGAACTGAAAAATACTTACTAATTAGAACAGATCAAATGTGAAAATAAAGAAGCACCCAGGCGGAAGAAACTAAGAAAAGTATAGACCTCTTGAGCAGTTTCAGAGGAAGAAAGAAGGATTATATAGTTGAAGTAAAGGGAAAATTTTTAAATAATTTACCCTTTACAACCTTTATTATTTTATCACATATACAAGTACATCCTTGTAATTAACAAATCACAAAGGGGTAAAATGGGTATCGAATGTTAAATGCTCGCTGATATGCTACGGTCAAAGTTGCAAAAAGTTATCATTAAATTTAATGAGCGGTTTGACCATGTAATTTTGTAAATCTAAGCTAAATTTAAAGAATCTATACATTTAAGGACTAATGGCATGATTGGTTCAGGTCTCGAGGCCTTCAACATGATTTTGAACTGCTAGGCGAGATGTTTCTAAAAGTTTGGAAAATGATTGACTTTGGTCAACATTCTAGATAAATATGCTCGGATGAAAATCCCATCATCACAGTTAGCTCTGAATGCCGAGTTTGAGCTAGAATGACATTTGGTTTAGGCCCCAAGGTGATCGGGATGTTTTTATGTTGTTTGGTGTTGCTTATTTGATTGCTTTTGTAAGTGTTGATTTGGGTCAACATTCTATCGAGACAATGTAGTTGGTTGTTTCGTCGACTCCATTGAGTTTGGAATGTCGTTTCTAGTGGGGTAGCATAGTACATTTGCATTCATGGGGTTCCAAACGATTCACGAGCTCTCGTTCGATCATTTTTCTCAACTATAAAATGAACTGATATAGTTGGTGCTGACCAGCACCCAAAATTTGCTCAGCACGTCCATGAGTTGGGACACAGGAATGTGAAGACTACCTTTCTTGATCAACATGGTCGCGGCCATTGATCATCGTAATCGCAATATGAGGTCAGTGGACCCACTCAAATTTAATAAATCGCGATGAAGAACTTCATTACAATTATATCAGTTCCTCACGTTTAACATGCATTTTCCCAAAGTGAATTTCCATTATTGTGGAGATTTGGAGAGAAAATTAAAAGAGAAATCAACTGCAAGTTGCTGGATTTTGACTATGGATAGCATGGGAACATATTGTGGGTCATTATTCTTCCATACACTATGTACGTTCCATTGATTTCTTCTTTTAAAGTCCATTTTGATCATTATTGAGCTTAAACTTGGTGGGACTATTTTGGGCTCAATCGGTGCTCGAAATGTGCCCATTTGTAGGGCACAGGCTTCTTGAGCTAGTTGAGATCTTGTGAAGAAATCATTTTTTAGATTTCATGTGCATGCCCCACGGTCACATTTTGATCCGATTTTTGGGTCTAAAATCTTTTATTGCAATTTTGGTATGGTAATACCTCGAACTTTAACTGAGCTAAATAGAATTCATGCAAGTCACCCATCAGTTTTTATTTATGGGTCAACTTCAAATGACTAGATCTTTTAGCACATAAATAATTAGGTGGCCCATAAGCTATCAAATCAAAGGTCTTTGAGTCCTCTTTACAATGCCACCAAGTTTGCCTAATTTTGAGCTCAGAGTAAAAAGTTATGCCCATTTGAGTGAAGCCTCTCTATTTATGTCGGAACTCGAGAACCATTGATGGCCCTCAAGCGAACCCTCATCTTGGCTAACTACAAGTGGAATACTAACTCAAGCATCCACAATCATCAAATTGGAAGAAGTGTTTAAAAACAATTTACTGAACCTCAAAACTTAACTATATATACTGAGTATGAAACATAAGTTTTAAATAAAATATCTGAAATTGAAAGACACTCCAAAACTGTCTATATATGAAGCCTCTACTATACAAAGATGATTGTCGCGACAAGACCCACGACTCCTCAATAGAACTACTAGTAACAACTCATAAACATGGGAGTCCTCCAGAAGTAGGGAGGTCTTACTAAAAAGATGACGAAATGATCTCAATGCACTCTTGTTGAGGATCCTAAGAACCTATATATGTATCATTAAAAGATGTTGGTCGAATGACATCAGTACATTAGATGTACAAGTATGTAATATAGCTGAATAACAAAAAAATACTTAATGAAAGGACTACTGTAGATATAGATATATACTCAACTGAATGTAAAGAAATAAAGGTGTTAAATCATTTAAAACTTTACAAAATACTTTCGCATCTCTGAACTCAACATAATAAGTGATATATAAAAATACACTTTAACTCTATTGGGATATTCTCTAACCGACAACTATCACTATAAGCTACATGATGATACATCGTCTCGCCCAAGCTATCAGAACTGTCATATACCTTGCCGGGATATAGGACACCTAAACTAAGTGGATCCGCTAAGTATGCTTAAAAAGAAATAAGGAATCATCTAAAAAGTATGACCCTTTACCCATGTTGGCATACATGGTTTATGAGGACTTTGAGTTGTCTGAACTCATCCCCATATCGGTGTTCAATACTACTCCCAATAATATATGATCATGCTCATGTGTTTAAAAACACAACTCTTCCTCTGGTTTAAGATAATTGCTCAAACTACCCTCTTAAAAGAGGTAACTGCTCTTGAAATATCTTTTGAACTCATAACTCATTTAGAAATCAAAATTTCTCTTTTATCAATGTAAAAAATGATACATTTGGGAATACTTAATCCCCTTATACTCTTACTCACCTCATACATGGAAACTCTTTCTAAAAACACATATCAAAATCATATTGTAATATGATTATTGATGACTCGGGAGTCATACTGACATAAACATTGATGATATATCTAGATACAATACTACTTAAACATTGATGGCATACCCGATCGTCATACTAATCATGTTTTAAAAACTCTTTCTCAAAACTCATTTTTACTTCCTCAAAAACTCATTTTAAAACACAATTGTTTGCTTTAAAAGATTCTCAAAATTTATAACTCAAAATAGGGTTCATGTTGAAATATAGACATGAACTACTCAACTCAAGGATCTTAATAGCAATAAGGAAAGTCGGTACACATAACGCAAGACTCATAACTCCACGATACTACTCATCTAAAAAAAAAAACTCTCAAAATAGGGTTCATGTTGAAATATAGACATGAACTACTCAACTCAAGGATCTTAATAGCAATATGGAAACTTGGTACTCAGAACTCAACGATACTACTCATCTAAAAAATACACAATTCATGGGGCTCATGCTGAAATATAGACATGAACGAATCAACTCAAGAATCTCAATTCATAACATATAGCAATTCAATAATAAGGAATAAAATTTCAAAAAGAAACAAGAACTCGAGAACTCAAAATCAACTTATCTCAAGAATACTCAAATCTAAGGATAGAATCCTAGATTACTCTTTTACTGATTTGAAAGTAGATGTAGGTGTGAGGATGAACTAGTCCAAGACTATGATAGCCTTACATACCTTAAAGAACAATTTTCTTGAAGAATCTTGAAGAAGAACTTGATTAGAAGTCTTGAAACCCTATCTTGAAGGAGAAAAATCAAGAAAACCTTTCTTGAGATTCTTGAATTACTTTCTTGAAATCTCTATGATCAAGAATTATGATTTTAATTAGTGATTAATAATTGTATGGAGGAATTTGAGTTCGAAAGAATGAAATTCTTGGAGAAGGACTTACATTGAAGAAGAATCTTGAAAAAGATTGAAAGAATCTTGAATGGAGTCTTCTACTTTGATTTTTCCTTAGAGTTTTGTCTTAGGGTTTGAGAGAGAAGAGAATGATTGATTAAGAGATGAAAATCTGATTGTTTTGGGTCTTTAATTAGTCAAGAATTTCCTTTAGGTTTTCTTAGAGGTAAAAAGACAAAAACGATACTTTTTAATATTTTCCCGTCGGCTAATTCGTCACTGCACGGTACATGTTACTAAAATGGTCATAACATTTTACTAAAACATTGGATTGTTGCGAAATTGGTGGCGTTGGAAAAAAGATTCAAATACCTTTAATTTGATAGGTTATGGTCCACTTAACTCTTTATATTCTAGGAGATTAGGTCGTTTGAAGTTGACCCAAGTAAACTCTTATATCAAAACATAATCGATAATGAAACTTTCAACTCATCTTTGAAGTTGACCCGTTTGTCCATAGATTTCCCAAGTAAAATTTGGGAAATTTTTTGGAAAATAGTGTTTGTCCATACATTTTGTCACTAGTTGATAAATATTTTTGGCAAATAACTCAAATTCCCAAATACTAGAAAAAACTAGTATTTGGGCCAAATCTCATTATTTGAGATCATTTAAAAATTCAAATTTTACACCAAACGTTTATCTTTTACAAAAACACCCTCTATATTAGTTGTTTGTGCTTTATTACATAATTTTTTACATGAACACCAAAGTAGTGATGAAATATTCAGTGAATATGAAAGTGATGATATGGTTGTTGATGAAAATCATGAACAATCGGCTCAGGGTAACAAAGTCATGTGTTTTGTCTACTTCACAATGTGTGGAATGATGCTTCTTGCATTCACTCCAAACTACCACATTGCTCCAGTGTCATGGACATTGCTTGTTATTTGTTGCAACGAAGATCCAATTGACTTGTAATACAAACTTATGGCTAGTTTTGATATTTTTTAAAACTTATGGGCGTAAATCATATTTTTTCTAAAAAAGTGAAATGTTTCCCAAATACTATGGCCAAACACATGATGAAATTTCGCCCAAATTTTCACCCAAATAATATTTGCCAAAAATATTTGGAAATCTATTGCCAAATGCTAGATTAATTGATATCCAAATCATTCTCATACTAAAGAATTTACCTTTACACATATGGGAAATTTAAGAATCACCTGATATGACCCTACATGTAAATGAAGAATAGTTCGGCTCTTAACTTAGAAATTTTCGAGGTGTTACAATCTCTCCCCCTTGGGATCATTCATCCTCGAATGACGGCTGGTCTGAGAATGGAAAGGGGTTACTTTTACTATATTCAAGTCTAACTCAGAATCACAAAGTACTTAACATAGGGTGATCATTCTGATCTAAATCGCAAGATTTGGGTTCTATGCCTCTGTGGGAAATCTCATCCCAAGAACACCTACTCCTTACCGCTACAT